AAAATTATAAATTTTTAAGTCTAATTTAAATTTAAAAAACATAAAATACAATAAAATAAGAAATAGGAGCAGGTTTTCGAAAAATCACAACAGGGTCTATATTCCCATATTTGTCCAAGCCCTGTTTACCATTCGAGAGGGGATTCCCTCCTTCATTTGGAGTGGGACCGGATGACAATTTCTCAATCACTTTTCTCGTCCAAAATAGCTCCGCCACTTTTTCAATTACTAGAAACAATAAAGGTGTAAGAACATCTTTAAAAGATTCTCTATTTTTAAAGAGTATATTTGGTAATTTAGATAACATCAATAATTTTTAAAGAGTAAAAACTTTTTAATATTCCAACATATTTTTTATATTTAAAACTTAATTTTATTAATCCAAAAAAATATTTAAAGCATATTTGAGTCCCCCCCCCCTTTTTTTTTGTAGAATACATTTTGGAATAGGAGATTGATGGTAAATGTATGGTTAAAAAATAAGAAAAAATTTTAAATTTGCGTGTAATATTATTTTATTGAAAAATATGTGGTTAAAAAGAAGAGAGAAAAAAACGTATTTTGGAAAAAAAATGTGGATCAAACAAGAGCTTATTATTTTTTATATCTTTTATTTTCATTAACTTCCCTCCTAATTATTGTATTATTTTTTATTGAATATTCAAATATCTGAATATATTTAATTATAAAGAGTGGATTTGTCCAACAAATTTAGAGAGTCAAACTTACTATCTATTTTAAAATACAACCGTGCATTGTGTACAATATTATTGACAACATATCATGTAATATATTGTCATTTGACAATTTAAAAACCAATTTATATTTCCCACCAACGTCATTGTCAAAAACATTGTATAAATAGATTTATCTTTTAAAATATTAATTTAGGGTCTGTATTTAAAGAGAGCATATCCAGGCCTATCATTTAACCTGCGTTCTAAAAAGCTTGTCTAGAAGCCACCTAGATTTGAAACTCTGGCAAAACGCCTCATTTTGTGTCTAGATGTTTTTTTTTTCAATTTCTAAATAGTTGAATTTTTTATTTCCTCTTTCGTCTTTCCTGTGCGCGCTTTATTAATTTTTTTTATTTTTTCCATTTTTTAAAAGTCTTTTATTTAACTTTTTGAATCATTTCTCCCATCAAAGTTTTTCATTTCTCTTTGTGCTTAACTTATTTATATCAATTTTAAAAAAAAAAAAGATATATTTTTTGAAGAATATCTTTGCACTTACATTTCATAAACTTTTCTACTTCTTCATATAAAAAACTTTGATTGATTGAATCAAACTTGTAAAATAATCATATTTATCAAAGTTTCTCATTACTCTTTTAGTACTTAATTTATTACAATTATTCATTAAAGGGGACAAATATATTAAGAAGATTTTTGAACTTAAGTTGCATTTGACTCTTCTTCATCTTCTCACTGAAAAATTTTGATTGGTTGAATATAATCTTTTAACCATCATATCTATCAAATTTTTTTTATCTAACACTTGAGCTATCATTTGTTGCTACTCATTGAAGTTTTAGCCTCTCTTAGTACTTAAGTCTTTGTATTACTTATAAAGATAGGAATTTCAATGTAAAATCACTTTGATAAAGTGTGGGTCGTGTTGGAATCCCTTAAAAGATTAATATTGTGTCATCTATAACAAATATCCCATGTGGGCCTCGCATACGGATTTAAATTTTGAGGTGTGCTTCGGGTTTGACCTCTATTCCCAAACTAACCACTGTTGTTAACATTGCTCCTTTTCGAGTTGACTGGGGTTTGTAGTGGGGCCTTTCATTTGTTTAAAGGAGCGGATGATGATGGTTCGACGAGTGGGCAACTCTCCTATAAGCAGTCGCCTTCTTATTCGATTCAATCATCTCATCCTTCGTTGCGATGTTAATGGCTTCCGACAACGTCCAAATATTTTGCAACCCAATTCTACCTTAAATAATCTCATTCAAACCACAGGTATACTTGGCTATCCTTTGATTTTCGAATTTTTGACAGATTGTTCCACTCTGCCAATCACGTAAATTCATTGGTATAGTCCGTACTTTATGATTTCCCTGCATGCATCCCAAGTACATACAATACAATATACTTTCATAATTTGCAGGTAGAACTCGACCCATCGTTGACTGCTTCATCTTCCTCCAAGTCTGAATTTGACTCTTTCCTTATCTTCTTCGAGTATTCTGTAATTGATCCCATCATACGGCAGCTGCGGATTTCAAAAGGAACGTCACCATCTTAACTATCTTGTCCACTGAAACATCTATAATTTCGAAAAAAATTTCAACCTCTACAAACCTATCCAGGAAGTCCTCGATCTTCATGTTACAAAAGAATGGGGGAATGTCTACTTTAATCTGATAATCATCAAAGGTATTTCAGTTTTCATGATTACGATTATGTGGCGGCGCTTCGAACCCCTCCTCTGACTCCGACTTGCTTTTTTCTACTGTAATTCTCCTATTATTTCCTCTCCGAACTATAGGTTCAGCGAATTTGTTCATTGTTGATTTCTTGTTGTTCATTCCGCCCATTGTTTCTAACACCCTGCAAAACAGTTGACGAATTTCTTCAATCTGAGTAGTAAGATCATCAATCTGTCGATTTTGAGTGTCCAAATCTGTCCTAGTAATTGGTACGTCACCCATGATTGTGAATCAAAGATATAGAGACAAAAAAATCAGCTCTGATACCACTTGACGCGGCGCGAAGAAATAAATTCAAGCGAAAACCTTAAGAACACAATTTTTAAAATCCACCAAATTATGAAAAAAATAAACTCATGAAATTTTATTAATATAAGATCATAAAAAATGATGAATCAACCATTTATTGATAAAGGTTTACATGAAAATCTAGCTTAAACAAACCAAAATTCCCAAGAATTTGAAATAAACTAAATGATAAAAATAGTACTAAAACATTAAAAGCAATTTTCAACTCCTAAACGAACTCGGATGGCTAAAATCCATCATATATCACGACAAAATCATGTGTTCTACTCATCTCGTTGTTTTCTTTTCGGGTTTGTGAGGCTGATTTTGTTCAAATTGAATAGGGCCCATAGTGTTGGTGGATTTGCCCAAGGGTGGAGACTCGGTGGGAAGTGGTTCGACATAGTGGTCCCTTCGGCAGCGGCGGAATTGAATGCCACGATATCCATTCTGCATGAATCCCGAGTCTCATTTAGTTGCGTAGGGCATATGGGTGGTGGCATGAGGCTGGGAATTGATGGGGGGTGGTCGCCGGCAAGTGGCAACGCTATAGACATCCGGATTGGAGTTGGGAGGTTCAGGTCCTGGGTCACCATGGCTCCGAAATTGCACAACCTAGAAAGGAAAAGTCGTTTCGGATCATATTGATTGCACAGCTTTTAAATAATTCTAATTTCAAAAAAAATATTCCCACAATGGCTAATACCTTGTTATGCAAATGTA